TAAATGAAAGGGCAAGTAGTGGTTAGAATTGACTAACATTATCCTCTAGCCAAAAAAAAAAAAAAAAAAAAAAAAAAAAAAAAATTAGGGTTTTCAATTAAGGTTCTCCGCAAATTTTCAAGATAGAAAACAACAAAGTTATCTGGAAAAGCTGAATAAAACTAATTAAATTTTGTTAAACCGTGAATGCTGTCATAAAAGGTGCATGCAAGGCATTTTATTTTATTTTATTTTGTGGGGCAAAATTTTGAAAAGCCGGCTAACTTGGCTTGAACCTATTCATGAGTATATTGGTGGAGAAACAAATAAGAATATACTTGAGTGTGAGTGTAAGTATAAATTACTCGAGGAATCGAGCATAGATGAATAGAAAAATAGGACATTTTCAGTAGGGGCTCCTTCGAAAAAAAGTTTATGTTTTTACATTTAATTTTCTATATTTATTGTTGTTGGCCCCTGACATATTTAGGTTTGTCTCGTCTTGGACTTCCAAGTGTAGGACCCTAGATTCTTTTCACCCTTTTTGTCATCATGACTCAAGTTCTTGGAAGAAATGAACTCCCACTTGAATTGTTGAGTCATGGGAGTTAAACACTTGGCCTCGAGGGATCATCCTTCAACATCAAGCTACACATGCTTAGATGCAGTTGCTTGGTTACTTAGTCTTAGTTACCTGAGTTCAATTGCCCGAACTTGGTTACCTAGCCTCAATCGCCCGACCTTGGTTACCCAACCTCATTCGCCTAATCATGGTAACCTTACCTTAGTCACTCAGCCTAAGTTATTCATCCTTCCCGACACAGACAGTTGTGTCTTATTGTCCAACATATTACTTTAATACGTCTGAGAAGACTTCTGTAGATGGATGGACTTTGAGCCATCTAATTCTAGATAATTTCAACTGTCTGATCTGTGAAGTCTCGGACGGTGGTGTTTTGGTTGCACTTATTTAGGTTTCAGATTTTTTTATGTCTTTCAAAATTGTGTTTCAATTAGAACGACATAATTAAATTTCAATAATTAGCCTTGAGTTAGAAGTAAATGTCTATAATACAACTACCTCCTTTAAATTTGAGTTTTTAGCTT